TGGGTTCCGGCTCATTCTAGACCGGCGAGAAAGGTGGAGGTCTAAGCACCATGTTGAGACCGGGGCCCAAGTTTGGGGGCTTGGAGTCCAAGTTTGGACGGGGACCTGGACCCCTTGACAGGAGTGAAACGGGTTGGTCTTATTTATGCCTGGTGTACAAGCGAGGCGTGTGTTTTGGGGTACCCAGCTGGGATACATTGATTCACGAATCGCCGTTTCTGTGAAACGGTGCCGACTTGGCTATGGTCTAGCACCATAGTAAGAATTGGAATATGAAAGATGATAAAATAGTTCTGATTGCTCACCACCTGCTTGAAAGTAGCATAGGTGCTTACATAGAATTGATAGTTAATGGACTAATGATGACTATTAATAAAATTTAATATAAGGACGCACGTTTAGTGATGCTTCCGCAGATGCAATAACCCACAAGCCAAATAGGCCTTGCATATCCTTAGAGTCTTTTATTTTTCTCCTGTCGGGTAAGTCTTGCTGAGTACAATCGAGTACTCATGGTTTTATTTCCCCTGTTGCAGGTGACCGATGGATGGTAGATGACTTTTTTGTGTGGTAACCTCCAGATGGGCTCAGAGATGATTTCTTTCGCGCTACGACCATAGTGTTTATTTATAACCCTTACTAAAAGTTTTAGAAGAAAAATTTTATGATTCACCATTAATCTTTATTTCCGCTGTAATTCTGATCATATGTTGTTCTCCGCTGCAAGATAAAAATGTAAACCAAAAATATATAAACTCTTTTACATGTAAAATTGTCTTAATTCCGCTATTGCATTCAACTTGTTTAAGTAATCTAACGTTGTAATAAAGTGATAAAAGAAATAGTTAAGAATGTTGTAAACTTTATTCTCTCATTTATGATCCTGATGAAAAAATGTGGATTTTTAAGTTTTTCTTGGGGTGTGCTCGACGGAACAGCATGATTTAGTGCACTCTCTTGGATACTTAGTGTCTAATTGAAGACAAGTACTCTTGGGAGAGCATTAGATTAGGCGGTTATGCCACATGGACCATCCTAGAGCTAGAGCTACAGGCCTAGAGCTCGCTAGGTTATCCAAAAAGAGAGGCAAAACAAAAACGAGGCCTGGCCTGGGGGATCAATCTAACAACAGGGACACTTACATAATAACATCTCCAAAGCCACCATTTTTTAGCTAATTTACAACGTATAACCTGAACAAGAATAAAAATGAAAACTGCAAATACATAAAACTGAAAACTAAACATAAAAGAAATACTGAAAATAAAACTGACAACCGAACAAACTAAAACTGAACAAAATGGACTAAAAACTAAAATAAGAATAACAACTCAACAAACTAAATCTGAACAAAAAAGACTAAAAATACTAACAATACATATGTAGATGCAGTCACTAGGTTTCATCAGCTACATGCAATACATATATAGATGGATACATATATAGAAAACAAAACAATTCCATGAGCGCAACCATCAAATCACACAAGACAAGACAGGTACGCATGATGCGCCTCTTATTACAAACATCTGGTCTGATCCCTCTCGAACAGGCTAGGCTAAGGTGTGAGATTGATGACAGCCAGACACACACAGACACATGGAAAAAATAGCTAATTTAGTGCGGCCACGTGCATGCACAAGACAGCTAATTTAGTGCAAGGCTCTAGGATTTAGTGCGGCCTCAGCTAATGAAATCTAAGCAAAATGATTCACCCGAAGATATTAGCCATAGCGCCATCCTCGTTACAAAAAGATATCTGAATTTTTAAGAGCTCTAAAAATTATTTAATGCATGCAACATGCAAAACTGAAACCCCAAAAACTTGGTGACTCAAACTGTTTCTTAACTATGTGTCAGTTTAAGGAGTCAATTAAACATTAACTAAATATAAAAATTAACAATGTCAAACTCAACATATCTGCTTAATACTGAAATTACTGCTGAACAAATTTACTGCAACTTACTACTTGGATACTTGAACCACAATGGGTTCAGTTACTTTACTTGAAACTATAATACTGGAAAAAAGACCTTTCAAAAAGCAGGCCTAGGGATCAATCTGACAACAGGGACACTTACATAATAACATCTCCAAAGCCACCATTTTTTGGCTAATTTAAAACCTATAACCTGAACAAGACTAAAATTGAAAAATACAAATAAAAAAAACTAAAAACTAAACATAAAAGAATGACTGAAAATGAAACTGACAACTGAACAAACTAAAACTAAACAAAAATGAACTCAAAAAACTGAAACTAAACAAAAATGGCTGAAAACTAAGTATAAAAGAATTACTGAAAGACAACTGAACAAAATAAAATGAACAAAAATGCGCACACACACGCGTTTACTGAAACATGACAATCTTCAGGAAGCAAAACAATAAAAAAACTGCATGCCATTTGCAGTTTTCATATCTCAACACATGCAAACAATAATAGAACGTTAGCTAACACACAAAAAAACAAAAAAACATATAATAACTAAAATTAGGAACATGAATCAGGGACATGAATCTAGATCTGAATCAGAGACATACCTTCCTTCCAAACCCTTTAGATGATATCCAAGAGAGAGGTATGCATATCTTCTCACCATTCCAACACTCTCCACCTAGAGCTAGTTGTTGCAGTAATCCATCATGTGAATCATCATGAAATAGTTCCTCATCCCACACCACCTGGCTAATGACAAGCTCGACACTTGGTGTGTTCTCGTCACCACTCATGTGCTCTCAAGAATGAGCTCATTGCTGTAGTAACCCACCGTATGTGTTGATCTGAGATGACATGTCATCATCCCATATGACTTCTGTTGGATGCGTTGCAGCAAGTTCTTCAGAGGAAGCAATACGAGGCATCCCCGATGACATTAGCAGATGTTTTGAGTGTGATGCTTCCACTTCCTTGAGAGGTATTTCCTCAAAACATTTGATCTATAACCATTACTCCAAGCTCTAGATGTGCTAATGAGTAATCAACATCAATGAGACTAGTGTTACTGACCTGCACAACAACCAAATTGATCTCTTCACACCGTATCAACGTTGACATGGTATGTGCTACAGACAACTCTTGATTAATTCATGTTGTGTTGTTGTCCCAAAGAGGCATATCATCGAACATTTTGCAGGCAACTGCCTCAGGCATCGCCACAGCAACAGAAACGTCACGAGCAAGAAAAAACCTGGTCTATATCCTTGGATTGGATAGTGGACCAATGTGCTGAACCGAAGGCTTCGGAGGTGTCGTGATGCTCACACTGCAAATCCAACCAATGGGGAGAAGGAATTACAGGAAATCGGAGTCGCCCAGTGTGGAATCGACCCAATCTCGACCAACCTAATCCATTTATCGGCTGAGATCGACGGAATAGCTACAAGCACACGTACCTGACGAAATCGAAGAAGAGAAATAGGTCTATCGCCACCAAACGCCGCCAATATACACCGCCGCCGTGCACCCCCAAAAGCAGACGAAAAACTTGGGTAGAAGGGAACCCGCCGACTGGAGAAGTCGTCGCGTCTCCGGCAGCCAACCCGAGCTGGATCGATGGAGCCGCTGCATCGAATCGGGGAGATCCGCCGCCGCCGCACCAGTTCGTGCCGCCACTGGTCCGGATGAAGAAGAGCTGATAACTAGCGTCGGAGCAGGAGCAGACGCTACCCACTACCCCCACGTCGAGGAAGGCCAACATGTCACAGAAACATACACACCCGCACGCCACAAAACAGATCAGACACTTCACAACATCACACGGCACAGATCGAACGGACGAAAAAAATGGTTACTGAATGACATCGAAATAACCAGGCAACATATAGCATTCCTGAAAATATATATCTGCCTTGTGCGGCGAGCTTACATACTTTTTACGCTAGCGTGATAGATAATTTATGTTTCGGTACTGTGTGTTGCTCAGCACCTCGATCGGAAGCGATGGCTGCTGTCGCCCCTTAAAATTATTGTACTTGTGCCTTAGCCACGTCAGCTAGCTCATAGCAATCCATCTCAACATCTTTCTTATGTCAAGGAGAGAAGATAAAAAACACAAAAGACTATTTCTTATCTCAACACCTGTCTCGCTCAGAAAATGAGGTAGTTTGTAGGGCTGCTCATAAAGAATAAAGAAAATTCCTTATTTGACACTGAAAAAACTTGTTGTTCCCAATTTAACCCCCAAAGTTGAAATGTTCCTTATCTGACCTCGGCTGAAATTTACGTTCCTAGAATGGCACTACTGTCAGAATGGTCATGTAACGGTGTTAACTGAGACGCAAAAAGATGATTTTGCCCCTCCTTCAGCTTTTTAGTCTGGACACCTTCTCTCTTGTACAGGAATTATTGTTGGCCGGCACGGAGGTGTTTTAACGCCATCTCTTTTTTTTAATTTAACATGGTTGCTGTTCCTGGAGTACAAAAATGATTTGGTGTTTTTTTGACAATTTTTGCAGCATTTTTTAGGCCATTTGTGCACCTTTTTTTTGGATAATTTATGCACCAATTATTTGGACAGAGTGCATAGATAAATTTTTGCAGCAATTATTTGCACCATGATAATAAGGCAAACAAAGTTGAAAGAACATCCACAATAACATGAGATCAATAACATCCAGCTAGCATATACACTAACATTCAGATTCACAAACCATCCGGGTTCACATCCAAACAACATAAATATGAGGTTCATATGCACGGTTCTCTTCACATAAATATTGAGACATACAGGTTCACATCCAAACCAAAAGACATGGCATTTCAGCTTCTCAGATTCACAAACTTAGTCTTCTTTTACTCCTTGTGCTCATTGCAGGACTTGCAGGCTGAACCATTTTGCTCCTTGTGCCCATTTTTTAGAGCCGGCTTTCTCAATAGGTTCATTAGTAAGTGAGGTAATAAATACTAGTGCATGTTTGCAAGGAATGCCAGATACATCCCATTGTCTACAAGAACATGTCCTGTCAACCAAATTCACCACAAACCGAAAGCCACTACCACCAAATGTTGTCACTTCAGCCACATCTTCTGAGCACTCTGATACTTCCAAGGTCAATTCTCTGCTTTTCTCATTCAACATCTTAATTATGTGAGGCAAAATCAAGCCATCTAATTTCTTCCCAATTTTCCTTCTTTGGTTCCACTTCACCATAAGTAATTGTCTAAGCTTGTCCATGAAATCATCGAGATTCATAGCCTTAAGGTCCTTAATCCAATTGTTGAAGGACTCAAATGCAAGTTGTTGGTCACATAGTCAACTTTACAAATGGTTCTCGAATTGACTTCTTGTCCACAACTTCTTGTGACACTTTCTTAGGTAATTTGTTGCAAAGAAGCTTTGCTTTCTCCATTTCAGGTCCAATGTTTCTCAAACAAGTATGTGTTCCATGAGTAAGTCACGCCCAAAGGTGGTCATCAAAACCTTCCCATGATACTTCTTCTTGAAATTGCTAACCAAGTGGAACATGCGCTCCTATGCTCTCTCGCTTTCGAGGAACACTTCAAAGAACCCCCGCCATCATCGTCATTTTGCATCATCATGCTTATTGCTAATCCCTTGGTGACCCAATAGCCTCCCCAGAGCTTACTCATGAACCAAATCCAATTTTTATTAGTTTCAATCAAAACACCAACACAAACTGGATACAACCAATTGTGGCCATCAATCGCATTAGCACTTGCCAATTGCCCTTGAACTCCCTTCACAAGAACGTCTTCATCCATCGCCAAGTAAGGTCTGCAACCATTAAGAAAGCCATCTATGCAAGGTTTCAATGCAAAGAAGAATCTCCTAAATCTGATTTTCTCATTTATTGTGTAGTGATCAATGATTACTAAGTTGCCAGGGCAAGAGTTCTCCACTTGTGCCTTGAACCTAAACAAATTGTTGAAGCTGCTGTCCCAATCACCATATAATTGTTGCAATGCTAACTTCTGGCCATAATATACTCTCTTGTAGTGAATATGCACTTTGTGATGTTCCTTAATCTTCTTTTGCAGTTCTCTTGCTCCTAAAGTAGCATCTTCTATTAGAAAGTCCTTCACCTTCTTGCATACCCAATGTTTAGTTCCATTCTTCACCTTCTTTTTCATTCTAGTGCTAGAGCAATCATGCTTAAAGTTGTTCTTCTTGACCTACAAAACAGCAACATACATTATTAGTTAGACACACATAGGAAGTATATAATGGACAAAATGAAGAATAATGAGAATAACATAATGAGATCTCCAATACTTACCACTACAGTCATTTTGTCTACTGTTGTAGAAGCATGTATTTTCCATGGACAGTTATCCAACACCTTCCTTGAACAGTAACCCCTAAACCTCTGCTTTGAACTCTTCTCTGTGGCGAATTCAAATTCATGTTTGATTGCATGCTGACAAAGAGCCAACTTGAACTCGGCCATATTAGGATAAGTAGAGCCTGGTTCCATAGGAGGATCTTCTTCATCATAATCAACAATTGGGTGATGATTTACTTCTTCATATCCCTGCTCAGGCTCTACTTCATCCTCTGAGTCATCCTCCAAATCAATGTCACACTGTAAGTCAGATTCCGAGTCATCCTCGAAATCATCTTCATCCTTAGCCACAACCTTTTCCTTCCCTCTATCAGAACACCCAACCACACTTAGAGCATTGATAGGTTCATTTTGCATGTAAATTGTCTCCTCATCAACACCGACATGTTCATTCATTGGATTTGGATTTCTTAGATAATCAAAGTCAGCTTGGACCCTGTTGCTGTCAGGTTGCTCTTCCCCATCAAAATCCCATTCAGTGATAGGCTCAAATGTTTCAGAGGGATCACAATAAATAATAAACATGTCTACAACCTTCTCCTTATTGTGCATATCAAACATGTACATCAAATATTGGTCTGAATTTACTTTCGAAAAAGTTTTCAGAACATGATCATAGTACTAAATATGAGCAACTTTCAAATAACCTGGTGGATACTTGTCTACAATTGACTCAACGAAATCCATATAATTTGACAAGTCCGAATCAACAACCATATCAAAACTAAAACATTTGACATCCTTTCTAGCCTTTTTGCGATTGCCAAACAATTTGATTTTCAGCAAATAACTGGTATTTGTATCCAGCCTGATATTTCACAACAATAGCAGCATGCATCAGATTTCAACTATCTATGTACAGGTGGTCTGTGTACTCCTAAACTGCTAATTGGATGGAACTCATGCAAGGACAAGGGACCTACTAATACATGGGCAACATTTGGTGTCTTTTTAGAAATATCAGCATATGTGCACAATCGTTTCCTTATAAATCAATCTCTCTTAAACCAGCTAAATAATTTTTCATATGAAAATTACTTCACTTATAGTCAGGCTGTGCAAGCAAATCTTAGCAATTGAATGGTGAAATACATGCAAGGCTATGAGTTGTACTTCTATACACAACCGCTAATATTTCCAGATAGCCTTTTTCTTTGTCTTCTCAACGTATTTGTCCCCTAGGCTTCAAAACTACAGGTGTTTACATAGAACTAAAAAAAATAAAATATTGCAGTTGGGAGTAAACATTGTGTAAGGCAAAACAGTGTTAAAAAAAATAAAATCTTAGCAATTGAATGGTGAAATACATGCAAGCTGCATCCGCTGACATGTTCAACATCTTCGGCAAGCAGTGCACAAGAAGATGGAAGGCAACGAACTCACCCTGTACAGCCGGCCGCAGTGTAGGCCGCCCCACCCGTGGCCGTGCTGGTGTCGCGCGGGGAGCCTGCCCCGGCCCTGCTAACGGCGGCGCCCGCCCTGGCCGTGCTGGGCTCACGTAGGGAGCCCGCCCCGGCCTCGCATGCGGCTCCAGCCCCGCCCGTGTCGGCCTCTGATGCTCCACCGCCGCCGTCATCCATCCAATGCGGACGAAGCCAAACCCAATGAGATTTGAAGCCCTATCCCCTTCTCTTCTCTCTTTCTCTGTGAGCCAGGGGCATATTAGTCTTTTAACAGGTGACCCTACACGTCAGTTAACCATACAGTAGGTCCAAAGTGACGGTAGTGTCATTTTGGGAACATAAATTTCATCCGAGGTCGGATAAGGAACATTTCAACTTTGGGTGTTAAATTAGGAACAAGTTTTTTTAGTGTCAAATAAGGAATTTTCTCTAAAGAATAAGAGAGGGAGGAGAGAATATATAGAATAAAAAGTCATATACATGTGGAGTTCACATAATGAAGTGGCAATGACATGGCATGTATGAGCTAGCTGCTATCTCATACTGTTGAGGACGCTCTCAATATATGGACCTTGTGGACACAAGATGCTTCCTAAGGAGGATTAAGAGCATCTCTACTAGATCGGAGGCGTCTCAAAATCAATTTCAGTAATATAAAAGTGTAATGTTGCAACATATTACTCAAAACTCATCCTTTGTATTCATTCTTACCCGTGGGGGCCACGTGTTGTGTCATGGTCGAATCCATCTTCCTTCTTCCTCTCTGCATAATACTTTTCCATGGCTCATCATACTTCTCTATGGCTAGAACGGACGGTTGGCTGTCGGCTGGGCACCCTTACACGCTGACTAATGGATGGCTGCGCTAGGTCGGACCTTAGGAGCTCAGGCGGCAGCATGAACTTTGGAGCATGGCGAACAGTGACACGAGGCATGTCCATGGGTGCCTGGCAAGCGGTGGCGTGAGGCTTGGCCACAGGGCACCCAATGCCTGGCGACGAAGCCTTGGCGAACCGATAGGCAAGCACTATCGCGGGGCCGTGCGTGGAAGTCTGGCTAGGAGTCACGAATAGGAGATGTCCCAATGTCTCCTTTCTTCAGGAGAGAAAATGTGGATTTTGAGATATCTCAAAAATTTATTCTCCTGTGTTACAAGATTTTAAGGATATAAGAGCAAACAAGAAATCTGGTAGAGATGCTCTAAGGCCTAATTTGAAAGAAGGTGATGACAAATCCTGGGATGGAAAATACCCCGTAAAGAATTACTTATTCAAATGATTTTTCTATAGATTATCCTACGAAAAATCTGAAATACCAAGGGGATTTGAGTTTCCAAACGAGGGGTTTCACCGACGCCAGGCATTTCTTGTAGTATAGGCTGGCATGAGTGTTAGATCCAAAGAAAAGTAAAAGACTATCTCAATAAGAGAGCGAAAATTTGCCATGGATTATAATTTTTCTTGCTTTATAATTTACATCTATGAACTCTCAGGTGATCACCCGAGGCCTTTAACTTCTTTTTAAGCAGTTCATTTTAAGTTTACTCTATATCTAATCATAAACCTTAGGGATACATGGTGGCAGGTTGTCCATGAACAGTAAATAGGTTTAATTATTGATAACAAAACCTATTTAACTTGCACTTATAATGGATCTGAATTCTCATTTCGAACGAACCATTTGAAAATAGAAAAAAAAATCTAGATTTTCACTTTGAAAGTTTATGTATTCTTACCTCGGCCTTGTTTGAATGTGTATATATTTATCTCAATCCACATGTGTTGAAGTGGATTGGAGTGGAATTAAACTAACTTTCATTCCACTCCAATACATATGGATTAGAGTGAATAAACATGTGTCCAAACAAGCCTGAAAAGTAGGCAGAGAAAAATTTATGAACCTACAGTGCATGCGTGTCCACTCTGTTGCGTCTCTGCAGAAGATGACTTCTGTGGTCCGGGAAAATGCGCGTCAGGACTCAGGACATGCATGGTTGGATGACCGTGGTCCCAAATACTAATCCTTTTCATTCTGTCCAAGGCAGGGTGCTTCTGTTGTTTTGCGCCTTAATTATCCCTTAGGCGCATCTACTCTGACTCATTCTCATTAATATTCTCCGACAGTGTCCGTGTCTTTGCAAAAGCAGTTGTACTACATACTCCTACACTGCAATGTACCCTGTTCAAACAAGACAACGAAAAATAGCACTTGACAATCATTTAAAACTCGTACTGTACGTACGCATCTCCAGGTTGTTCCATCGATGTCAGGCACAAATCACGAACAGCTCTAGCGCGAAATGTCCTTATTGATCCTCTCTAATCATGCTCGCATTGCTGAAGTTACGCTTCACCTTTTTTTGAGAACAGCCGGAGCTTCATTCATTGATCATGAATATGGTTACGCTTCACCTAATCAGCTTGTGATGTGGCTAGATGGCTGACACGGGCTACCTTCCCGGACAACTCGGACCGGCTCCTCCTTGGGCTGCGCCGGAAGCCCAACTAGGCCAAGATAGTTTAATGGGCCGGTAAGCCTGGCGTCATAACACGGCCTGGCTTTTTGCTAACGAACGTTAGTTAGGGTGAAAGACTTATGGCTGGTGAGGCGTGTACAAAACAAGGGGCATTGCAACAATGATATTAAATTTATTTTTTATTATATATATGGGGAGAATCTATGTTCCGTTCGTTTGGCTGATAAGCCATGGCTAAAAGTACTGTTGGTTGATTTGTTGTGAGAATAAAATACTGTTCGTTGGCTGAAAAAGTACGGCTTATAAGCCAATCGAACATGGTGTTAATATGGTAGCGTCTACTAAGATTCTTGTGTCGCCCTAGCGTTAGCATTGCACTATTGCTTGGGCTAGGCACACCCCAACCAATTCAATATTTGAAAGTTTGATTTAAAAAATTCAATAGCTGAAAGTTTGATTTATTCAACCATGAGCCAAGAAGGATTTATTGCTGTCCAATTGTCTGGGTTATATATGGCCCCGTTCGCTTGTCTTAAAATACGGCTTGTTCGGCTTCTTTTTCAGCCGGAACAGTGTTTTTGCTTGTTTTTTCAGTCAAATTCAGCCAAGCGAACGGGGCCTACGGTATATATTTCAATGGCAGAAGACAGTGTAACTGGATTTTTAATTAAAAATACTAAATAGAGTTTATATGTTTAAGACCATTAATTAAGCATAAAAAATTATTAAATGTTCTATATCTTATTCAATGACAGAATGTTAGGGGCCTCTTCAACGGAGAGTGTGCATCGTGAAGGACTAAAACGGATGGGAATAAAAAATGGAGTTTAGATATGTTTAAAACCATTAAGGCTAAAGAAAGGTAAAGGATGAATATCAGTCTCTTGAACGGAGGATATATATCGTGTGTAGGGATGAAAAGGGACCGATGAATAATTCCCGTCACACTTTCTAATTGTGTGTACTGTTTTTTTAATGTTATTATCCCTTTCGTATTCATGTTTATGGAAAAATATGGGAACAAGACGTGGAACGAAAGAAGAGGGATTTTCATTTTTTTTTTGTGGGATCATATTTTCATTATGTTTTGAATCTATATGGTACGTACATGTTAACATGTTAACAGGCATGACATATAAGTAACTATTAGACTAGTCACTTTATATATGTATACTTTTGTGTGACTTCATACATGTATATTTGAGAACATTAGATCAGGTGATTCAAACTTTTTGTTTTGGCTTCTCATTCGTATTTGTCCGTTCTATATATCTATAATCTCGTTTCTCATCCCTACTTTTCTGAACAAATCTATTTCCTCAAAAAAAAAACGAGATTGGGAGCAGAGTTTCCCTGCCCGTTTCAGTTTATTTTCATCATCTCGTGTGATTATTAGGTAGACAATAATCAAAGTCTATGGTAAGTCTATGCATACTATCCATCCAGGCCGGGCATACTACTATCTACTCCCTCCATCTTAAATTGTAAGTCATTCCAAAAATCTTGGAGAGTCAAACTTTTTTAAGTTTAACTAAAATTATAGAGAGAAACGCAAAGATTGATGACATCAAATAGGTATAATATGAAAATATAACTAATGAAGAATCTAATGATACTTACTTGGTATGATAAATATTATTATTTTGTTATATAAATTTAGTCAAATTTGAAAAACTTTAACTCTCCAAGATTCTTGGAATGACTTACAATTTGAGACGGAGGGAGTAGTAGACAACGAACAATAGTACTTGACCAGAATTCACGCCCGGCCTCCAGGGAGTTCCATCGATGTCAGGCATAAATCACGAACATCTGTAGCGTCAAATTGTGCCTACTGATCCTCTCCAATCAGTTCGTGATGTTGCGGGATGGCTTTTTTGCTTTCGGAACAGCTCCGACGGGCTCCTCCTCGGTCGACGCGGGAAACCCAGGCCAAGATAGTTTAATGGGCCGGTAGCGCAGCCTGGCGGCCTGTCTTTTCTTTGCTAATAACGAACCTTAGCTAGGTAATAAACATGTTTCTCAAAAAAAAAAAAGTTAGGTAATAAACATCAGCTGAGGAACATGAATTAGTACCACATCGAAGGGTGAATGACATATGGCTGGTGAGGCGTGTACAAAACAAGAGGCACGGCGACAATGCAACTCATACCTTTCTCAGCCTTTTGGCTAAAATCAAGTGTAGTACCTGTTCTTATCGGTTTAATATCTTGCCCACAATAATATTAAAATTATTTTTTTATATGGGGAGAAACTATTATGGTAGCTCTTGTGTCGCCCAAGCGTTGCACTATTGCTTGGGCTTGGCACACCCCTACTAAATCAATTGTTGAAAGTTTGAAATACATTTATTTCAGTCCATGAGTCAGGTTCTCTAAATTGGTTTACATTGGAACTCCAGTAAACTGTGTAATTCAACATTTTAATTAACACAATGGAGTTAATGATATGTTTAAAACCATTAAGGGTAAAAATTCAAAATGAATGCGGTAGAATTTGGATCTTATATCTCCTGTACAATATGAATATTACTGTTGTCTTGAACGGAGAATATAGAATATGTATCGTGTGATTAGGGATTACAATTATCAAATTCTATGCACAGTAATCAGTAATCATCCAGGGCCGGACATAGGTGTCGGGATGAGAGTCATCAAAGCAGAGGCGTAGCTCGTCACAATAGGCCTACCATATGGGCCGGACATAAATGTCACAATAGGCCCACCACAAGTCCGAGGCCACACTTCCTTGCATATGGGCCAGAGGCCCGGAGGTCTATATACAAGAGCAAAATTGCTGCAGAGGCCATTTTCCTGCATCCTGCCAGTTTTTTCCGCTTTTCTTTTGGTGCTACCAGAAATGACTTCATCCCCTCAAAAAAAAAAAAAACCAGAAATGACTTCAGATTCAGAGATTGTAGAGTTCGTTACACGAAAAGGTTAAGTGATCAAGTCTATCAGCTGATGCTGCCAGTCTCTTGTGCGTGTCAGGTAATGCCACAGCCATCATTCACATTTTTCCACGCGAGTGCTGGTACATGGAGCCGTCGGTCGTGCCTCTACCGTGCTGACACAACAATGGCCACCACTATCCTCCGATCAAATCGGACACTGAAAATGCAACTTCTTTCCCGATGACAAGATCCTTATCTCCCATCCAGGCGAAAACCTGGGACGTAACGTAAGGACACAAGGCGGTACACGTCCCATACGGCAAATCTGAGGCTGCCATCCTTGAACACTCTGTCCCAATGGGACGGGAGCTTCGTGCACGGCCGTCTCCGGGTCAGTGTAGCTACAGCCTGGAGAGGTGACGGGATCACTGTCAGACTTGCCCTGCCAGAGACGTTCGTCTCCGTAGAACTTTGAACTGGTGGCTGCAGGCTGCCTGGACTCGTGTCGTCCTTCTTCCTTCAACACGGGTGCGTGCACTAGCTCTGGCACGCGCGGTGCCTGTCCTGCTCCG